GCCCAAATTTCCCACCAACGAAAAAAAAGTCTGCCCCCACAAGGATGGGGTGTGGTTTGCGCTTAAAGGACAAACGGGAAAGAAAATCAAAAAAAGAAACCCGGTTCATTGTCCTGATTGTGACTTGGATTTTGTGCTGGTCTTTTTTAAAATTTTCCTACCGGGAACTTTTCTAAAAGAAATATGCTACAAATATTGACCCTGTTTGCCAAAAAACATGTCATGTTTTTGTTTATTTTTCAAAAATTGTTTGATAAAGAGTATTTTTATAATTATTATTTGTTATTTTTTTTATAATTTTTTTTATTTTATAATTTATGATTTTTATTTTTAAAAAACTTTACATACCCGAGTGTTTAAAAGAATTACAGGCCTACAATATAAAACGCCAAATTTCCAAGCAAAATAATGGTACTGCTTTCAGCACCAAAAATCGGAAATAATCATACCGCCAGGGAGGTTAAGTCAATGGTCCTTCTCTGTGTTATCTGCAGCGTGTCTAGCCGAGACAAAGCCCACTTGGTCTCTAGCTTAGAGATACATTTGGCAATCGATTGGCCTAGTATTTTCCTGAAAATCTTGTATATTCAGAGTTTAATAAGGCTATGGGGCAATAATTATCAGGAAGGGAATGGTCCTTATCTGGCTTGGGGATCACAGAAATATATGCAAGTGTTTAAATCATCCTGTGGGAGAGACCCCTTCAGGAGGTGCCAAAACAAAGTCAGAAGATGAGGGGCTAAGTCGCCCATAAAGGACTTGTAATATGAGTAAGAGAGACCATCCGGTCCTGGGAACTTGTGAGTAGGAAGGTGCTTAACAACATCCAATAATTATTCAATGGAAATTCCTATGTTCAAAGCTGTAACATCGGAGGGTGACAAACACGGCAAAAGTAAGGAGTCAAAAAAGGCTTCAAAAGCAGTCATCTGAAGGGGATGGTGAATTTCAGGGGTTAGGCAATTATAAAGCTTCTCATAGTATTCCCCAAAAATTATTGCCATAGCTTGTTGGTCATATGTGGGTTTGCCATCGGACTGGAGTAGATGGCCCGGTAAAGAGGGGGACGTTTGAGATTTAAGTCTATTCACGAGCATACGGTGTGGTTTATTAGAGAATTCATAGAATTTTTGCCTAACACAGGTGAGAGACTGAGCAGTTTTATGCAGGTCAAGAGCCCAAATTTGATTACGTATATGTGAAACTTTCTGGAGCCAAGGAATAGACGGTTTATCTAGCAAATGATGTTCGGCTGAGGATAGTTGGCACAAAATGAATTGTCTGGCACAAACAGAGGCCTTCTTTAAATGAGTGCCCATGGAAATACAGAGGCCTCTAATTATGGCCTTATGGGCTTCCCAGAGGGTTGAGGATGAAGATACTGAGCTAACACTGAAGTGAAAGTAAACATCCGGACCCCACGAGAGTACCTCTTGAAAGTGTTCCAAGCGCAGAAAACTCCCATTAAAGCGCCAGTGGCAGACCCTAGGGGAGGAGTTAGGAAGAAGGAGATCAAGTGACAGTGAGGCATGGTCCGACCAAGTCATCTGGTTGATCTCCGAAGAAACCAAAAAGGAGATCAGAGGGGTGGTAACATAAAAACAATCCAATCGAGAGAACATGCGATGTGGAGTAGAATAAAACAAGTATTGCCTATAGAGAGGTTGTTTGACCCACCAGAGACGATGCTCCCAAATCAGTTTGTGGAAAGCCATCGATAGGGGCAAAGAGCAGCTTCCTATCCTTATGGTGAGACATAAGTAAATTAAAATCCCCTCAACGATCATACATGGAGTAGATATCGAGCATAACTTGTCTAGAATTTGAGAAAGAAATAACAGTTGACCAGAGTTGGGTGCATACAGATTCAAAAGTACAAATAGGAAATTCTCGTACATACATTCCAACAAGACATAGCGACCAAGTGGGTCAATTCAAGAAGAGGAGACCCTCAGGTAGCAGTTTTTCTGCATCAAAATAGCTGCTCAGGCTTTCCTGGAGGGATCAAAAGCTGAATAGGATTGTGGAAAGCTCTTGGAGCATATGAGGTTGCAGAAAGGCCTCTTCCAACAGGGGAGGAAGTCCCAACTGTTTAAAGAAGGAGTCCACTTTATGTAGATCTGTTAGGAATGGACTGGCCAGCAATGGTGGGACTCACCTGCCTTTTGATCTGCAGTACCAGGGCTGGCCAGCGGGTGCTCCCAGCAATCAGAGACTCAACCTTTCAGCCAGCTAACACCTGGAACTGATGATACTGGTGTATTTAAGGGATGGCCAGACTTGCAGACTCTGCCTTGGTGTTGTGTTTGTCCTGGGCCCTGTATCTGTCCTGCATCCTGTTTCTGTTCCTTTGCTGACTTCTCCTGCTCTGATCCTGGCTTGTGACCCTGACCATCCCTCTGTCTGACCCTCTGTACTACGCTGCTTGCTACCTGTTCTGATCCCTGGCTTGTGACCCGGACCATCCCTCTGCCTGACCCTCTGTACTATGCTGCTTGCTACCTGCTGAACCTGGCCTGTGACCCCGACCATTCTCCGCTTGCTCCCCCTGTACCTACCTGCCCAATTGATATTGACCCGACCTGCCTGCCTGACGACGCTTGCTTGTATATACTGTTATCTGTGGGTGGTTTGGTTTGGTTTGTTTGCACCGTATTATGTTTTAGTATTGCACTGCATTTATGTTTGTACTGTTAGTGTTAATAAATTATATTGTTTATAACATATCTGAGGTCTGCGTTTCCCTGCTTCAGTCACACACCTCTGGTCATACCTGGGAGCCCTGACATTACACCAAGGCCAATCCTGACCAGAAGTGGCTGCACAGGGAAGCCATCTTGGCTTGTTGATGGGAAGGATGGATCTTGAGGAGGTTGAGTATTTATATCTGCTAGTGTTTGATGACAGGGAGTATGCTTATCAAACTCTGAAGGAGTATATACCCGGGATGAATTGCTAGAATGTATACGGCTCGCTCATGTTCTAGTAGATCAGGGCACAGTGTTCTCTGAGGTGCAGCCTTTGATTGAGGTTTGTGCAGAGTTGGTTTCATCTGGTTCCCCCGAATGCAGGGATGAATTTTTGCCACCATTTAGTGCAGACCAGGTAGAGTCCCTGGTGTGGGTTATTAGAGGATGATGTGGGTTACTTTCTGGAGCGTTATTCCACATGTTCACCACAGACACTAAGAGATTGTATAAACGCAGTGCAGTCATTGACCAGACAGACTTTGTGTAAGCTCAGCTTTGTTCAACCCCTACTGCAGACATGGACAGATTTGTTGCACCCAGCCTCAGTCAGCTTACAAAGACCCAGTCCTGCTTCTAACTCTACTCCTGTATTCCCCACCAGCTCCTCCAGTTACAGCCCAGTATACTTGGCTATCTACCGCATGTCAGTACCCTGTTCCCACTCGCTGCACCTATCCTGCCTTTAACCCTGTAAAAAAGCCCTCTGTAGCAACTGCTCCCTCTCCTGTTCCATCCTCCAGTTCTTCTCTGTCTCCAGCTGCTCCATTCGTTTGCAGACCTGCGTTTACTTGCAGTGCTCCAGTAGTTAAAACCAGAAAAAAGCGAAAATTCTTTCCAACCAATACCATCCTGCCAGTATCCAAACCGGTGAGCCTGCCTTCCGTGGTTCAGACTGATGCCTGTACGTAGCCTGATGCCTCTACTACGGCCTGATGCCTCTACGCGGCCTGAAGCCTCTACGCGGCCTGAAGCCTCTCCTCGGCCTGATGCCTGTACTCGGCCTGAAGCCTCTACTCGGCCTGATGCCTGTACTCGGCCTGATGCCTGTACTCTCGGCCTGATGCCTGTACTCGGCCTGAAGCCTCTACGCGGCCTGAAGCCTCTCCTCAGCCTGAAGCCTCTACGCGGCCTGAAGCCTCTACTCGGCCTGATGCCTGTACTCGGCCTGATGCCTGTACTCGGCCTGATGCCTGTACTCGGCCTGATGCCTGTACTCGGCCTGAAGCCTCTCTTCGGCCTGAAGCCTCTCTTCGGCCTGAAGCCTCTCTTCGGCCTGATGCCTCTACTCGGCCTGATGCCTCTACTCGGCCTGATGCCTCTACCCAGCATGATGAACTGATCCAGCCTGACGATCCTATTAGGCCAGTTGACTCGATGCCCGCTGTTGATCCAGATGATCCGTACCTGATCCGTGCCCGCTGTCGTGCCAATTGACTGAGCCCGCTGTCGTACCTGGTGACTCGGTGCCCACTGCCTTGCCAGATGACGCGGTGCCCGCTGGCAAGCCAAATGACCTGATGCCTGGTGACCTAGTGTCGCTGTCATACCTGATGACCCGATGCCCGCTGTCGAGCCAGACAATCCAATACCTGATGACCCGGTGCCCACTGTCGTGCCTGTTGACTCGGAGACCACTGCCTTGCCAGATGACGCGGTGCCCGCTGTCGAGCCAAATGACCTGTGATGCCTGGTGACCCGATGCCCGCTGTCCAGTCAGACGATCCAATGTCTGACCCAGTGCCCGCGGTCATTACCAGTTGACTCGGAGCCCACTGCCTTGCCAGATGACGCGGTGCCCGCGGTCGAGCCAAATGACCTGATGCCTGGTGACCCGATGCCCGCTGTCCAGCCAGACGATCCAATGTCTGACCCCGTGCCCGCGGTCATACCAGTTGACTCGGAGCCCACTGCCTTGCCAGATGACGCGGTGCCCGCTGTCGAGCCAAATGACTTGATGCCTGGTGACCCGATGCCCGCTGTCCGGTCAGACGATCCAATGTCTGACCCAGTGCCCGCGGTCATACCAGTTGACTCGGAGCCCACTGCCTTGCCAGATGACGCGGTGCCCGCTGTCGAGCCAAATGACCTGATGCCTGGTGACCCGATGCCCCAGCTGTCCATCCAATTGTCTGACCAGTGCCCGCAATCATACCAGTCTGACCCAGTGCCCTGCGGTCATACCAGTTGACTCTGGGGGCGGAGCCCACTGTCATGCCGCGGTGTCCTGTCGGCTGCCCCGCCGCTCCGCCTGGGGGCCCGAGACCTGTTGCTCCGCTCCAATGGGGGGTCCAGCCGCCCGCCGCTCCGCCAGTTGGATCCGGAGCCCCGTCGCTCCGCCTGGGGGGCCCGGCCCCGCCGCTCCGCCTGAGGGCCCGAGACCTGTCGCTCCACCTGGGGGGTCCGGCGCCCGCCGCTCCGCCTGAGGGCCCGAGACCTGTCGCTCCACCTGGGGGTCCGGCGCCCGCCGCTCCGCCTGAGGGCCCGAGACCTGTCGCTCCTCGCCTGGGGGTCCGGCGCCCGCCGCTCCGCCTGAGGGCCCGAGACCTGTCGCTCCATCTGGGGGTCCGGCACCCGCCGCTCCGCCTGAGGGCCCGAGACCTGTCGCTCCTGGGGGTCCTGGGGGGTCCGGCGCCCGCCCGCTCCGCCTGAGGGCCCGAGACCTGTCGCTCCATCTGGGGGTCCGCCGCTCCGCCTGAGGGCCCGAGACCTGTCGCTCCGGGGGCGCTGGGGTCCGGCGCCCGCCGCTCCGCCTTGAGGGCCCGGTTGTCGCTCACCGCCTGGGGGTCCGGCCTGCCCGGGGGGGGGCTCCGGAGCCCGCCCGGGGGCCCGATGCCTGCGCCCCGCCTGGGGGCACGATGCCTGCGCTCCCGCCCGGGGGCCCGATGCCTGGGGGGGCACGATGCCCGTCGCCCCCGCCTGGGGGCCCGATGCCCGTCGCCCCGGGGCCGGGGGGCACGATGCCCGGTCGCTGCCCCGCCCGGGGCCCGGTGCCTGCTGCTCCGCCCGGGGGCCCGGTGCCTGCTGCTCCGCCTGGTGGCCCGCTGCCTGCTGCTTCGCCTGGTAATCCGATGTGCCTCTGCCCGGAGTCCTGCCCGATGTGCCTCTGCCCGGAATCCTGCCCGATGTGCCTCTGCCCGGAGTCCTGCCCGATGTGCCTCTGCCCGGAGTCCTGCCCGATGTGCCTCTGCCCGGAGTCCTGCCCG